GTACAGAAAATGGATGGATGGATGGATGGGTATTTAATGAAGACTCAGGACAAGGATTAGTGCAGTTTGTCCCTATAAAATGTGAGAAAACAMAGTGGAGGATAAATCACAAACRAGTTTGTAAGAAAAGACATCACAGCATTTATAGAGAAATAAACAAAGWCAGGTTCAGTTTACATTTACTGCACACAACACAACTGCTGGCTCTGCACTGGATAGAAGAGAATAATGTAAGAAAGTTACTGCATCTGATAGTGTTTCAGCACTTGGTAGCATCGCAGCTGATAAATCCTCAACCAGTACAGATATCATCAATGAAATATATTTACAAGGTATAAACTAGAAAATAAAAGTACAATACAAGTCTTTTGGGTTCCAGGGAAATGAAACAGCAGATACCATGGCAAAACAAGTAATCAAGCTGAACTCCCATTGAGCWAATCTGAAATAAAAACATTCACTAAGAAATAAAATGTAATTACTCCTCAGGTTTCAACTTCAACTGATACAAAACAGACAAACATCCAACAGGAAAATGTATGAATCACAACCATCCAGACACAGARCTGTACTGCTGCACTGTCATGCAGGGCGGCTGTAGCACAGTGGTTGGGGGGCTGTCCTGGAACCAGAAGGTCACCGGTTCAATCCCCCATCCAGCTGCCTCAGTTATTGTGTCCTTGGGCAAGACACCTCACCCCTAATGCCTCTGATGTGTCCCATCAGTGTATGAATGATTAACACTGGTTAGTCTCCATACTGATTGTACATGTTATCTTTGTAGAGAGCTAACAGAGTGCTGTGTGAATGGATACATGAGGACACAGGTTGTGAAGAGCTTTAAGTGTCCTGGATGGACAGAAAGGTGAAATATAAGTACAGTCCATTTACCATTTAATGCCTACAATACACAAATAAATCATTTATTTCAGTTAAGCGAGGAAAAACATCAAGACTTAAGTCCTGGTGTTTTAAATGTTTTAAATGTCTTGTAAATCCCAGTAATCTTGTTTATATTTCTTAATGGATGGTTTCATTTCAGATTTGCTTAATTTATTTTAACTCGAGGCTCTCTGGCACATGTTTTCTACAATTATTATATTATTTA